AAAAAAAAAAAAAAAAAAAAAAAAAAAAAAAGAAAAAAGACAAATTTTTTTTACTGTCGATCCATTTATAACCTCTGATTAATGCCAACAAATATGAAACTCAACAAACTACTGTTGCTGGTAGTGGACTTGGTGGAAAAGCAGAACTGCTTCTGTTAACCGACAGTTGAAGACATCTGTGGGATTCAGTTAATTGGCTGTCTTTAAACATTTAATGACTAAATTATATAAGGAAATTATTTAGATAAGTGTTTAATCAAGAAAAAATTTACAATAAAATCCTTAAATCGTTTTTGCAAAACTGATGACTGATTTTTCTTGGTGTCATAAAACCGTAGCTGCTTTTACTTTAAGTTTTGTAAATTTTTTATTGATTTTGTTGCTAATATTTGAGCTTAATTCATTTGAATATTAACAACGGTAGAAAAAAAGGATAGTCTTTAACAGAGGAGGTACTGTGAATTGTTTTGCTGACAATATTAGGGTATCTTTCAACAACATTTTTTGTATTAAAACTATAAAAATAAAAAAAATTCAAAGTGGGAAATTTTGAAGTGAAAAGTAAAAACGGAAGGAGAAAATTTTGCTGTTTTTCCTTCTTTTAAAGCAAATAATGTAACATTTTGAGAGCATTCGTCTGTTTATATATATAAAAATGTTTGAATTTTGCTGCTGTTGTTGCCGACAATTATAATGCTGATGATGACTAGGATGACACTTTTACTAAATAGCTTATTGAAAGGTTTTTTGAAGGAAATCAGGAGAGGCGGAAGGATAAAAGACATACGGATTTGAGGAAAAGAGGAGAAATCGGGCTTAATAGAACATTTAGTAAAACTAAATTTTCTATTAAGCAGTCATTTGGCTTCACTGTGTTCAGATAATACCCTTTCAAAGCAAAAGAACTTTAGAGCAAACTATAAACTACATGCTTTTAATTTTAGAAACAGTTGATTTTTATTAGTTTGGTGCTAAACGGAGAGGAGAGAAAAAAAATTATTGGTATATCAATCAGATATGTAATCGTAATAACTATTTTAGTTGATTTTAGATAGGAGAAACAGTGTTTTATTAAACGTCAAAAAGTGGGTTTCACTTTTGTTGTTGTTGTCGTCGTCAGCAAATAGTATGTTGGTTGAAACTGAAAGAATGATTATTGTTACGTTTTTTTTTAGCTTTCAAGTTTTTTTTTTCGGCACTGCTCTTTAGCTCAATTTGTTTGTATAAACATCTTATGTTATAGCTGTTGCCCTTCTTCTGCTTCTCTTTCTTCTAGTTCACCTTCGTCATCGTTGTCATTAAGATCGAAGAATACTGTTAAACAAAAGAAAAAAAAAATATATTTTTTTTTTGATGTGACTAACTAAACAGCAGCTTATTTCATTTTTCTTTTTGCTTTTGATCACACTTAAGTTCTTAGTCTTTTTTGCTGCTGCTTAGACCGTAATATTCAATTGACTTTTTTCTTCTTGTTTTTCATCTTTTTTTTTTTTCATTTGTCTTTCTGTTTTACGACATCGCCAATGCACAACAACAAAAAATACTAATAGCAAATACTAATAAACATGCAAAAAAACCTAAGTTATAAACTATGTAAGCGACGTTTTGTTGTCTCATGCAGCAGACCAATTATTTATTCTTAAATTTGGCTGTTTTGTATTATTTTTTTTTTTTGCAAAACAAAAAAAGTAGTGGGAAGAAACTGCTTAGTATGTCTTCTTATTGGAAGGTGAAGTTTATACTGTTTTTTTTTGGAATTTTATATAAAATGAAGCTTTAAGTTATGTCTTTGTTTCTAACTCTGTCATCATTGAGCAATTACTGAGAGTGAGACTGTCAACCTGTGTCATTTAACGCCACTAAATCTTAAAAAATTTGTTGGGTATTGTTATAGCGATGTCACTGTATTTTGGCTTTGTGGTATTGTTGAAGATGAAAGCACTGAGGAAAAAAAAAAAAAGGAATAAAAGTAGAGAGGTGAATGAAAGAGAAGGAGGAGAAAAGCTACAAAATTTTTGATTTTTGCTGTAAAATTTTCAATATGGATTGAGAATAAAAAAATTTGTATGTGCGTTTTGTTAGTGATGAATCTGTATGCTTCTTCTGATCGCATTGGTCAAACCACTACGATACCACCATTATTAACACCGCTGACGCTCCCAAATTCTGTACTGATGTTTCTGAAGCGGTCACTATAGAACATCGGTGCTTTACGTTGCTGTATTCATTTCTAAAAATTTTTCTATGTTACTTTAGCATCACATTAGATTTAATCGTTGATGGTTGTGGCATCTGAAGCACAGACAGCTAAAATTTTTAAGCAGTTTTATATTTTTGTTATTATTATTATTATTTATTTTTTTTTGTATATTTGTTAGGGTTTTTTTTATCTTTTCTTTATGAACAGATGTAACTAATTTTTTTCTGTAAAAAAACTGTCAGACTAAAGCAATTTTAAGTGGCGAAATTATTCGTTTCTTTTTTTTTTAATTTTAGAGTTCAATTAATGCTTTTAATATTTGCACATAATTTTCTATTTTCTTGGCTTTTTTTGTTTACTTTTTTTTCCACATTTTAAACTGAAAGCAAAACTAATGACTAGTTATTGCTTGAATTTCTGTAACTATACGTGTTTGTATGTTGAGTGTTGGATGTTGGTTGTCTTTTTTTTGCTGATAATCTCTGTTACTATTCAAAAGCTTCAAATTTAGATGGTTGTTTGAGTGGCTTTTTTCTTTGCAATTACTAGAATAATTTTTTTACTTTATTCGTATAATATGACGGTTTGAGTGACTCAATCCATTTTTCAAATTTAAAATAATATCTTTATTTGAGCACCAGTGTTCATTTTTTTCCTCATCTACTGACTGTGGATTCGTTATGCTTCAAAAATGTTTCATATTTTAAAAGAGCTGTTTTCTGCTCTTTCTACTTTTTGTTACAGAAAGTTCACTGCATTACCGTGAAGTTTTGAAAACTTTAACTAAAACAACTAAATCCTTTCTCTGAAAATTCTTCCACTAAAAAACGTTAAGGAAGTAAATGTATTCACCTGCCTCTATCGTTTCTTTTTTTCAGTTTTAAAATTTTGTTTGTTTTTCTTTAAGAGTATCTTTTTTTTTTTTTTTGTGAAGAACGAAATAAAGCCGTACTAGTAGTCTTTAGTAATTTATGTTAATGCAGATGTTCAGTTGAATAGGTAAAACGAAAATGTTGTTAACAGTTGACTAAACCGATTGCATAAACTATCAGCAGCTAACACCAGATGGTCTAGCTGACGATTCTGAAAAAATTGCAGCTGACTAATCATTGAACGCGTAAATTTGCCAATTCTGATCTCTACTTAATTAGTTCACTTATCAACTCGTTTTTTTGATCTATAACTTCCAAGTTTTTTTTTTTTTTC